TTATTCTACCTGGCTCTTCTTATTAACTAATTCGAAGGCTTATTATAGGGCTTCTTTAAATGCTATATAACTTTTATAAATCTAAAAAGTTTATAGTAGCAGTTTATATTCTGGTTTAGTAGTTATATCTTCTAATATAAGTTAAAACCACTAGGCTGCATTACCTTTAAGTCTTCCTAAGGCATATATAACTTAGTTACTATCTTTATTAAACTAATTCAAAAAGTAGCTTATAAAGGCTTAGTATTAAGTAAGGAATATAGCTAGTTTTACTAGGTTTCTATTAAATAGTTTAGGTATATTAGGTTTAAGGATTTTACTTACTTCTTTCCTGCTTATGGTGGTAGTAGTAAGGTAGTATATTTCCTAGATGGCATTCTGGTGGTTAGTGGCCTATTAAGCCTGGAGTATAGCGGCTTTAGCGAGGGCCTATCTAAGGTTATCTATTTTGGTTATTATATTAGTTATCTGCTGATAAAGCTAGGTAATATTAGAGTTAGTGCTACTCTTAGAATTATTATCTATATCCTAGTTATTATTAATAGGTGCTAGAGTAGCATAGGATATAGTATATTACTAGGCAGGGTTAATATAAGTAGCTATTGCATTTATATTACTTAGTATTATATGGTATAGTCTAAATAAGAGCTATTAATATATAATAGGTAGAGTCTAACTATATTAAACTAAGCCGTGCTAGGTTTATTATTAGCAGATTGCATAGGGCGTGATGCTAAGCTTATTGGAGTGTTATGTCTCTTAATGGTAGATTTAATGCGTATTAGGCTTAATTAATGTAAAGAAGTTTTAGTTAATAGCTAGTAAGCTAAGTTCTATCTAATGCTAAATGAATATATATATATACTTGTATGTTCTTGAGCGATCAGTGAGGTCTATTGCTGGATTAGTGGTAATCTGGACGGATTAGTACTAATTATATCGGATTAGTTATGATTCTATGGTCTTAGCGCTGATTGTCTTTAGCAGAGGTTGAGATGATTGGTGAGGAAAGTGGGGTACACGTGAGGGGCCTGTTGGTTTGTAACACACGTTATATGTAACATTTGCACCAAACCACTATGCCCCGGTGCAAAATATTGGCCAATAACTGGTATTGTGTTAATTATAGTGGTGGCTATATCTGCTTATAGAAGCCGTACGGCGCCGTTACGGTGACCAATCGTAACATCACATCTCTATCCGAAGACATGTGATAACAGAAAAGAGAGACGATGGTACACTACAAAATATACAATGATTGATTTTCTCAATTCCATTGACGTTAACTAAGCACGAGCATGGAGCGTTGGCAGCTGATAAGTTCTTCGAAGCCATTTAGAGATATATTGGCCCTAAGTTCTGTTATTCTTAGAAAGAGCACCGACGATGAAGAGCAATTTAAAGAAGCAAGTACGTGTTAAGTAAATACTGAGTTACTTCTGCTGGCAAATATAATTTAGTAACTTCAGCAAAATCAACATGCAACTCGAATCTGAATAATCGTTATCGATATAGGTAATACTATTTATTATTATACTAGTCTAAGTCACTGTAATCACTCAGTCAAAAGCTTGCATAGCTTTCCATGCAGTGTAAGGCCGTTCCACGATCATTTCCTTGGCTGTGGGCAAGGCCGAGCGACCCTTCCCAAATCTAATACTGGAGCTCATAATCTCGCGCCATCTCCTGCCAGGAGCAATCTTGCCCGAGATAGTGTTAGGCACTAGGCTGTCACTATTAATAGGAACCAGAGCTGGTCGCCCCAAGATAGTCTCCATGGCTTGTTGGGCAAAGGAAACTGCCTCCTTGGCATCCGATGGGACTCCGGTCTCGTCTAGCGCCCGGATCTTTGTTTCCGGAAGTTGCTCCCTGAGATATTTGATGATGGTCGGGTTTCGGGCACCACCGCCGCACATATAAACCTCTGCAATCTCATTCACGCTGATACCGAAGTGAGGGAAGAATGTGCGGTATTGCTTGATGATATTCTGGGCCGTTATTCGAGTAATGGTTGCTAGTGTGTCGTACTTATCGCACCCAGCAGCAAGACACTCGTTAAGCAGTTCTTGGCCTTCATTGTCCCCAAATGTCTCCCGTCCTGTGGTCTTGGGAGGAACGTGGTTGCAGTACTTGTTTGTACTCAGAAACCTATCGACAATGTCCTGGCGCACGGTGCCTCTGGAGCTCCATTCGCCGTCTCTGTCATATTCCATCTCGCCGTTAGTGAAATATCTCATGGCGTTGTCAATGAACATGTTGCCCGGGCCGCAGTCCCTAGAGATGTTAGTCGCTTCATTAGGGTGCTATGTAGAGGATTTCTCACCAGTCGACCATTGCGTCCACTCCGCCCTCGGAATCAGGGGGGATGACACAAAGATTGGCAATTCCACCAATATTCTGACAGACACGCCACTTGGTCGGGTGATGAAGCAGAAGGCCGTCAATCAGAGCAACCAATGGGGCGCCCTGTCTACCCACGGCTTGCTCTGCCATTCGGAAGTCTGTCACAGTTGTGATACCGGTGATGGCACTAATAACTGTGCCCTCCCCAAGGCAAAATGCAGAACGTGTCTCCCCCTCTTCCGGCATGGATAGAAGCCAAATGGTCTGTCCATGTGATCCGATGAGGTCAATACTGTCAATCGATATCTCGTGTTTATCGCAAAACTCTTTGACGGCATCACCAAACATCTGTCCAAGTTGCACATTAAGTTGTGACATTTTTGAGGGAGTCGTCTTGGTCTCCCGAAGCATCGTGAGAACGGGTTTCTTGATCCACTGAGGTACGGGGATCTCATCATACTAAGTATATGGTCAGCACCAGACGAGTAGATAGATACCGCGAAGTGAAACATACTTTAATGAGCTCCATGTGTAGAGGGGCATCCGGAGACTCTTGGTAATATCTAACAAGTGCACAGTCGATGCCGTCCATGGCAGTGCCACTGTTCATTCCCAGGACGGTTAAGTCAAGCGCACCGGTGGTAGATGACCGAACATGGCCATTTCCATTGAAGGAATTGCCATTGGATTCATTTGATTGACCGTTGGTAACGGAACGGCTCCCATTTTGCTGGGTTTGTGGTCGTGTCATGGTGAGATGATATGTTATGAAGTTTATGGAAACCTTAGCAATATCTCTGCGAGATAGATCAGGTGAGATAATATGTTAAGTTCAGTATGTTCGAGATCGTTGAATTGCCTCGGAATTTGTTCACGGACATGACGGCGCATTTAATATAATGCGGTATTCGATGGCGCCTCGATACGAATCGCGTTCAAAATCCCCTGTTTGGAAGTTCGTGACGATGAGCGAAGACCAATAGCAACTAGTAAACTTCCCGGAGGAGATGGTCCCTCTGTTTGTGACTAGCTTACTCCACAGAGGGATGGCAAGCTCTAATTTCTTAGTATTTACACTAGTTTAACCTGTCTCGAGTCGAAGTGCCTTTTTGGGCAAGTCGTCTCGATGCTGAACTCGAGGCGCAAACCCTAACTATTCCCGTGTTGTCTCCGCCAGTAAGCCTAACCACAATCAAATTGTCGGAAAGTTATCTAATCAATTGACAAATGCAAGTTCTGTAGAAAGGGAATAGAAACCTATTTATTCTCATCATAACACGGCCTTGGATTTCTCATCCTGTTACTTGACAATAAGAGACAGTCAGCGAAAGAGTATGTATAAAGAAATGGCCATCCCTCGGTCTGTGTGGACCTCCGACCATGGCAGCATGGCGCACGAGACTGCCAAGTCTCGCTGGCCTAAGCTTGTGCAGGGCATGATCGATGATGTCCGTGTTACTGGTGCTGAGCTTGCTCCATCCCGTGCACTTGACGAAATCAATTCGATAGAGAGAAGCCTTAGAAGACTCAGAGAGGAAATTACTAGCAATGATCAGCTGTGGTGAGTGCTCCATATGAACTTCTCTCGTCGGTATATCACTAAACAAAGCTCAGTCCCCTCGAAGATGATGGCTCGGCAGACATTGCGTCGTACAATCAGCTTCTCCTTAATATGGGCGAGTTGACATGGCTCAACTGTCCATGGTTGTATGGTGAATGCTACCTGTATAGGTCAGTCTTGGAGTTGTTATGTACCGCCAAATGATGCTAACTTCTGCAGACGAGTGCAGCTGTTATTTTCCATGTCATCTTCCTGGAAAGGGTACGATGTGTTTAAACGTCAAAAGGATTCTACCCTTGTCAAGTCGCAGAAGGCCGTCCAGGAGCTGGCGAGCAGGGTCACTCAAATCATCGCAAACCCGATACAGCCACTCCAAAGCTTGGACGACGATGCAGCGAGACTTGTCTTTTCTGAAATGACCGAACTGGCTTTATGGGGAAACGCAACAGATCTGTCTCTTCTGACCAACCTCAGTCTGGAGGAAATTCAGAAGTTACAAGGAAGCGCAGCGATCGAGGAGAGCCAGCGGAACATTGTCGACAATGATACATCACATGTGTGGCATTATCTGCGAAAGACTCAGTTGACTCAAAAAAATCGACATATTGACATCGTTCTTGACAATGCTGGATTTGAGCTATTTGCAGACGTCCTCTACGCGGCATACCTCATTGCATCTGGCCTCGGAACGAGCATCACTCTCCATGCGAAATGTTTTCCATGGTTTGTCAGCGATGCATTACCCAGCGATATGGACTTCCTCCTCGACCATCTGCGGTCCACAGGCTTGAATTCTTTGGCCACTCAGATCAAGAGGTATCTCGAACTCGGCTTAATGCGTATCGAGGTTCATTCGTTTTGGACGACGGCTTGGTCATTTCATGAGATGGTCGCTGTAGCACCTGATCTATTTCAGCGTTTTCAGGACAGCTCTTTGACTATATGGAAAGGAGACTTGAATTATCGAAAGTTGACCAGAGACGGTCTCTGGCCACACACAACGACTTTCAAGTCTTCGCTTGGTCTACTAGGGCAACGAAGCGGTGTCAAGGTCCTCGCGTTGAGAACAAACAAGTCCGATACTTGCGTTGGAATAGAAAGTGAGGAGGCTGTCAAGAAACTTAACCGGGAGGCACCCGGGATGAGATGGGTTAGGGATGGGAAACATGCCGTGATATCATTCAGCGACGGCGTCTGAGACAGATAATATACTACTAGCATTTTGACCACTCCTCTCGCAAAACATTGATTATCCAGGCAGTTGGCCAGGCATGCGATCCCTCGAGATCCTCAAGCATGCTTACCAGGCTTGTTTGCTCTCGCTCATCTGTCATCAAGGGACCCCCTTTCATAGGTTAGACAATTCTGAATTTTAACAAGATGGTACGACCTACAAATAAATGTAGAGTGGCATAATGTGATGAGGGATGGCACAGTTCCCGGCGAGCCTTTGCATGCTCCACAAAGGGCTCGGGCGTGCTCCATGACAGACTCCTGGGGTGGTGTCAATTGAGGTAAGTTACTCTATAAACCATGAACTCACATCAGATTCCGCCAGGGTTCGGCGGGCATTTCGAATGGCAAATCGCGGAGATGGACGGTAGACCTTTAAAAGCATCCTAGCTAGGTGGTAGAATCCAAATGCCATAACTGATAACCATCAGGTTCCATGGACTAACGGGGAATTGTTCAGGAATTTGTGCCTACCATGCCAATCTGCTGTAAACCAAATCTCTGGAAAGGGACCTGCTCCCAGCTCTGGTGCCCCAGACCATATTGGATTAAAAGTACTCGGCTTCGTCTTGTTCCAGTTCTCAACGGCCTCGGACAGCTCGTACCATCTTTGCATCCTTGTCGATGATTCTGAGTACAAGAAACTTCCACTAAAACAGAAATGCATCACTGTAGCGCAAATCCATGTCATGGTATTTGCCCAGGCAGTCTCTGACTTGACATCGACAGCTTGTTCATGGACGACGGGTGGTGGTGGCATCAACACCAAGTCGAAATTCAAATTGGGCGGCTGCTGATTGATGCAGGCGTTGTAAAAGGATTGTCTTACATAAACCCAAAACGCAGCTTGAGAGAGGGTAGGTGCCGAGGGATCTACTTGTTGTCCTTGAGATGCCTTGAGCAAAGCACTCAACCCAGCAAGATGTCTCTCCTGATCACCGCCCGTCACAGTTACTGAGGTACGGTTAGATGAGCAGAGCTACTGCGCAACGGGACTTACCACTCAGTTGTTCGCATACGCGCAATATGACTATGGCGCAGAGGATAGTCTCGTCGTGGGCAATGGTCTCGGTACTTAGCAAGGGAATGAGAAGCACTATACACTTGTCTTGGAATTCATCAGCTGTATTGTTATCACCTAAATGGCGAGCGGCATAAGAAATGATAGCATATAGAAGAATGGGTGTGCTCTTGGCCAGGACAGTCACATTAAGCGTAAACTGTCGTGATGCATCCGTACAGTCTAGCCACCGAGCCACGTGCGTGGAAAAGTGGTGTAGATAGAAAGCCTCCTGGCGTTGAAGCGCAGGAGGGACAGGGGTTATCCTAGGTACGCTCATGGGAGAGCCACCACTGTACTGGTTTGGAGATTCACGTTCACTAAGGTCGAAGATGGAAGCAGCTGAAGGCGGCGACGTCCGATTCTCGGGGCACCAAATTGAATCCGGCTGCTGTAGAGAGTTGAGTAGTGATGAGGGCCCTTCCGCCGATGGATTATCTCCCTCCGGAGGATGTAAGGAATGTTCACCATGGACCGGATGTTCCATTTGCTTTGGCCGGTATCGCTTAATCTTGAGCTGAGGGGATGAATCGTCCCAACGGCACAGTCGGTCCCTCTTGAGGCACTAGTTTCACTTAGCTCCATCATCTTCTCGGTTCGGCAACTGGATATGCTTAACATACCAGTCCGCAAGTCGGTCTCGTCTCATCACCTGTGAAGTCAGTATAACGAATTTCGCTCTGTCCCTGAAGACGTACATTTGACGCGACGTTCTCGGCACGTAAGGCTATTCCATGTCACCTATCATTCTGGAGCATCGGCTCATCTGACTTACCAGCCGTTACGAGATCGCAACTGACCCATGTTACCCAAGCTATTGTTTGCTTGCAGAAGCAGGGAAAAGATTTCGAAACGAATGAAGCAGAGATTCGAGACGAAGGATTCCGGGGGAGCGGAACTACCCGTTTATGCTGACTTTACTAGTGCAACATGCCCGCATCTATGCTAAATTGTTCCGGTTTGCGCCATTATGGGTCCATTACTGGCTAATAATTTATCATCATGTTGTCAGAAAATCGGGGCCGCAACTTTTGAAACTAACTTTTGTTGGTAATTCGAGACGAGGACACAGCTCGCTAACATTCCCTAACAAATCGTCCGCGTGGCGCCGTGGCCAAATCCCCACGGGGTTAGAGTAGTCTAAGCTCGCAATCTCTGGGGAGAAGAAATAGATATAATGGGGGCATCTTGAACATCATGAGAACCTTTCCAATCGGCCATATCAAAACACAACCAATAATACCTTGACACAACTGCACATACTACTGTATTAGTGTTACGACATTAATTCATCTGCATCATGTGGAATCGCCAGAGCTGGAAGTCCATGTCAGGGCAGCATCTGCTCAGGCTTGTTACAATTACCTCCGCCGTTGCAATCTCCTACGAAGGCATCAGTCAGGGCGTTATGGGCGCTGTGACTGTCTCACCGGAGTTCGGACGACGCATGGGATACACAAACGATAAAGACGAAGTCGTCAAACCCATGCTGCAGGGCGGTATTGCCGCCGTATATTACTGGTATGTGTCCCCTCAGTGTGACAGGAAACAATAACTAATGTTACTAAGTGGCTCTCTCTTCGCAGCCTTTTGGGCTGGCAGCTTCTCCGACAACTACGGACGTATCAAGGGCATGTGGATGGCATGCTTCTGGTGTATGGCCGGGGTTATCCTGCAAGCCTCTGCTGTCAACCTCGCACACATGCTTTGCGCACGATTCGTTGCTGGCATGGGTGTGGCTTTCATCCTCGTCATTGCCCCTATGTGGACGGCCGAGCTTTCTGCTGCATCACACAGAGGCAAGCAAATCGCTCTCACATTCTTGGCCAATTTCTCCGGCATCGCCCTCGCAGCGTGGATCGGTTTCGGCACGTCCTTTACGGAGGTGGGCGGTGGACAGTTTCGCTGGCGGTTCGAGTTTGGGATTCAAACCATTCCCGTAATCTCCCTGGCTGTCCTGAGCCTCTTGGTCCCGGAATCCCCGCGATGGCTGGTCAAGGCCGGGAGACCTGAAGAAGCATTGGAAATTATTGCAAAGCTGCGGGGGGATGGTGACTCTCAACACCCTGATGCGCAGAATGAATATCGAGAGATTGTGACGGTAGTGGAAGAGGAGTCTCAGTACGCCAAAACCAACTACTTCAAGATGTTTTTCGGTATCGGATCCGGAGACATTCATCTTGGCCGCCGCATCCAGCTTGCCTTCTGGCTCCAGGTGCTCATGCAGTATGGCACTGGAATCGCAGCCGTGGTTATATAGTGAGTTATGCTTCTTTGAAAAAAGATAGTTTGCTAACTGCGTTGTAGTTCTGGAACCATCTATCGTACAGCCGGCTTTGATAATGTCAAGTCCGGTTGGCTGTCCGGTTTACTGATGCTGGTTGGCATCTTGGGTACAGCCATCGCAGCCTTTACCATCGACAGGGTAGGTCGCCGAAGAACCCTTTACTGGGGTGCCGTAGCACTCAGTATCACCCTGTTCATTATCGGCGGCCTCTTTCGGGGAGCCATTGACAACCCAGATAAGGCTGTTCAATACGGCACAGCAGCTTCAGCCATGGTCTTTATCTACCTCTTAATCTTCAGTTCTTCTTGGCTATTGATCCCTTTCATATATCCCACCGAGATCTTTCCCACCTGGCTCCGAGCCAAGGGGAATGCCTTTGGCGTGGCCGGCTGGGCTGTCGGCTACGGTGGAGGTTCTCTCTTGGTGCCTATTATGTTTTCTGGAATTAACGAAAAGGTATGGAATCGTCTCAATTACCCATGACTTTCTCATTTCTGACTTGGCTTGCAGACTTTCTACGTGTTCGGAGCGTAAGTATCCTTTGATCTGTCCGAAACTGGAAGTGGCCGCTTACCTTTTTACTAGTGCTATGTTTGCATACATTCCCTTGGTGTACTGCTTCCTCCCCGAAACTGCCGGCCGTACATTAGAAGAAGTGGACTATCTCTTTGCTAGTAAGAGTCCGTTCACTTGGGATGAGGAGAAAGAATTTGCGAAGCGTACAGCTCTCTTGCATGAAAGATTGAATAAAGGGAACGGGAGCGACGGAATGGCACAGGACAAGTCAATTGAATCACATGTCGAGGTTGTATAAGCTATGTTCTGTATCATCTCGCATATAGCCAGAAGCTAACTAGCAAGGGGTCGCACATACTTATATAGCTGCTAAATGGAGGTAGTATAAGGAATCAGATTGGAGAATGTTTAGCCGGACTATAGACGATTGTTTTGCAGTCTCTACATTGCTACTAAACATAACATATAGGCAAGGAATGGCGGCTAGTCATTCATAGATTAACGCGTGGCTGTAGTAAGCATCAGAGGCTGATTGCATGTATGTAGTAGTGGATTAATATATGGCCGTAATAATAGAGGTGCTGCGTTTGGTTTAACATGTTATAGCTGATTCTATGGCAACTAAAAATCCGGAGACTTAAGGACACCATCGTAGCCGTGTAAAAGTTATAGCCTTACGTCTGTGGCTATAGTTATATCTATAGCAGACATTTCGATACTGCTGGTAGTCTCCGATGTCATATTATTATTGAGTTTCATTAGGGTGATTAAGCTGATAATCAGCCTTAGGGAATAAGCTTTTTCAAGGATAGATTTTAGGTCAAGTGTTGGGTGGTTGAAAGGGTTGAAGGAACAGGGTCGAAGTGTAAAGCTGGACGTGAGAATGCCTTTGACTATGATATAATTGAGTGAACTCATCACATAAATCGGCAGGATAGGTTAAGGCCAAATAGCTATAAGAGAACCCTGTTTTGATTGAGTGGCCTGAACTTAATAATTACAATAATTAATATTCATGGGGTTGTTCTACATGGAAATTAGCCTTAATTTCTTGCAGGTATATAAAACTTTCGACACATACAAGTCTATCAGATAAGGCAGGAAAAAGAGTCTATTGCTTTATAGTACTAAACACTTGACCGCCAACATAATTAGCAAGCTCTTTGACAGGTGGCAGATACTCCAAATCACCCCCAAAGCTCATTCCCTTCTTCAAGAGTTTACGATAATTTTTGCCTGGGCTTACCTTGCCGAGGATATACTCCCTTCTGGTCTCGACGCGTGAAGGAACAGGGATACTTCGCCCGACTACAGCCTCCATCCCTTGCCAGGCAAATGTGATAGCTTCCTTGGCATCTGACGGGATACCAGCCTCGTCAAGCATGGTGATTCTCGTGTCAGGGAAGGCGTTCTGCATATACTCTGTGATGTTGGGGTTTCGCGCTCCGCCGCCGCACATGTATATTTCTGCTAGCGGACCGTACTGGGTTGGCATGTATCGCTTGTAGTGTTGCACAATAGCCTGAGCGGTAATACGCGTGATGGTGGCCACAATATCATTTGGAGACATTCCCTTCTCGAGGCCACGATCGATTAAGTTGTGTGCAATCGTATCTCTGAAGACTTCCCTACCCGTCGTCTTGGGCGGATCAAGAGCAAAGTAGGGATGAGTTTGCAGGAACTCGTCGACCATCTGCTGGTCCACCTCTCCAGCTCGACCCATTTCACCGTCCTTGTCGTACTCTTTCTCGCCATCTGTAAAGAATCGCACCGCCGCATCGATAAAAACATTGCCAGGTCCAGTATCAAAGTCAAAGAACTCAGCGTTCAATGCACCATCGACATCAGGCGGGATGAAACAAACATTTGCAATGCCGCCAATGTTTTGACAGGCTCGAAACTTGGTGGGGTGGTGAAGAAGCAGAGAGTCGAAGAAGCCGATGAGAGGAGCTCCCTGACGACCAGCGGCCTGATCCGAGACACGGAAATCAGTAACCGTAGTAATTCCAGTTCTAGAAGCAATAAAGCAACCCTCTGCCATGGTCAAGGCAGATTTTGTTTGCCCCTCCTCTGGGATACTGAGCAACCAGATGGTCTGGCCATGAGAGCCGACGGCATCAATGGATGACAGTGGAATACCATGTTTCTGTGAGAATTGCATAACAGCATCTGAGAATGTCTCGCCAAGCAGGACATTGACCTCTGATAGTTCCTCGGGTGTGGTATTGTTGTGGAGGATCATGCGCATCACCCTTTTCTTGATGGTCTGTTCAAGAGGGATCTCGTCGTACTTCAAGAGCTCGAGATGCATCGGTGTATTTGGTGAGGCTTGTCGAAAGCGACACAAGGCGCAATCAATACCGTCCATGGACGTGCCAGAGTTTAAGCCCAATACGGTAATGTCCAGAGGCGCGTGAGCGTCTAGGAGAAGACCTTCGGTAGATCCCATGGTAAAGATTCTGTAATATGAACGAAATAATTGTGAGAAACTGCTCGACAGCAGATAGTTTGAAAGTAGAAGGCAAGGCTATTTATCCTATCCTTTAATGTCTGAGCCACCTCCAGATTCTGGGGTAGTTCCGGGAGAGGTGGTCATACCTCGCCTAAGCGGTTAAAAGCTTAAACTGTTAAATGGTTAAGCGGGCCTTTCGCTCCTGTCTTAAGGGCCACGAGTTTAAGCGTTTAAGCGTACCAGACGCCACTCGGTTCTCGCCACTAACAGTCGCCACCCCGCAAAATTTGTGATTCGACCTGGGGAACCACGGGGAATTAGCTTCAAGGTTAGTCACTTGAAACGTTTCCTTGGTTCTTAGACAACCCCTTCTTTGATCATGTTGCGAAGGATATAAATCTCGTTGATTCCACTTCATGCCTGGGACTCAGGACACTGTTCATCAATCATCCCATCAGTACCGCAAATATACCGACGTCCGAGCTACTGCATTCTACACTATGATCAACTTTCACGTCTGGAGGCATGTGCCTGGCAAGGCGTTGTTGTTTCTTATTAACCTTGTCGCTTCAACAGCCTTGATCTTTGAAGGTGAGTTAGCCACAATTATTGTTGAGATGAACCAACTGACATAACATAGGGTTTAACCAAGGTGTGCTGGGGACTGTGAGCGAGACCCCTGGCTTCATCGATATGGCTGGCATTGGCTCCAATGGAGTTGTAACTAACTCAACCAAACAAGGTGGTCTTGCAGCAGCTTACTACTTTGGAGGCATGTGGGGTTGTTTTACAGGTGGTTAGTCAATTAGACATGCCTTGAAGAAGTCGGGATCATACTAATGACGGTTATAGGATGGGTTGGGGACAAGATTGGCCGCAAACGCGGTGTCTTAGTCGGCACGCTCTGCGGCATTCTCGGTGCTGCTCTCATGGCGGGCAGTATTAACTCCAACATGTTCCTCTGCGCTCGAATTATCGCTGGTCTAGGGATTGGCTTTCTTAATGCCATCGTACCTCCTTGGGTTAGCGAACTGTCCGAAGCCCATGATCGTGGCTCTAGCTTCTCTCTGGTGTTTGTTTCCAACTATCTAGGCATCGCCATCGCATACTGGATCAATTTTGGTCTTCGCAACACCAACACGGAGTTCCGTTGGCGCTTTCCGCTCGCCTGGATGGCCATTCCTCTTATCATTGTGAACATTGCTCTCCCATTCCTGCCCGAGTCTCCTAGGTGTGTTTCTGTCATAACTGAACCTTGAAGAACTTGTATATTGACAAGACTAGATGGCTCATTGCAAACGGGAGGAGAGAGGAGGCGGTCGATATCCTCTGCAAACTTCGAGGCGACCTGACTCAAGACACACCCAAAATAGTTACCGAGCTTGCGCAAATCGACTCAATTGTCGAAGCCACCCATAACCGTCGCAACAACCTCCTCAACATAGCACTCGGCGGTCGATATTCTGGTAACCTCCATCTTGGAAGGCGAGCAGTCATGGGCTTTGCACTTCAGTGGATCCAGCAATGGACCGGCATATTGGCTATTGCTGCTTGGGCCGGCACCCTGTTCAACCTGGCTGGTTTTGATGCACACAAATCTATCTGGTTGGCTGGACTTGCCAACACTTTTGGCATTCCGGGAACTGTAGCGGCGTCCTTTGTGATCGATCGAATTGGTCGCATCAGATCCTTGATGGTTTCTTTCGTCACTCAAGGTATCGCACTGTTCCTTGTTGCTGCCTTTATCAAGACCTCCCAAGACGTGGCTGCTACAGATTCTGAGAAGTCTCAACAGCTTGGTACTGCCGCGGCATCATTTGTCTTCGTCTATATCTGGTAAGGCACATGGCGAAAATTGTAGTTATTTTTGCTAACTTGATTCAGGTTCTTCACCATGTTCAACATCATTCCATGCTGGATCTATGGAACCGAAATCTGGCCCCAGGAGATTCGCGCCAAAGGTTACAGCTTTACAATCTTCGGTTGGGCATGTGGCTGTGGCATGACTCAATTCGTCATTCCCATCATGCTTCAGAGGCTCGGCTGGGCTACCTACATTTTTTTCGGGGCCATGAATGTCGTTGCTATGCCTCTTGTCTGGTTCTTCTTCCCCGAAGTATCTAAAAAGTCCCTCGAAGAGATTAACCTCTTGTTCACGAGCAACAGTCTCCTCGTGTCTAAGAACATGGAGGAATATGAGAGGCGCTTGGCTGAAGCAGGCGGAGACGTCGCAGTAGCATCGAGACAGTTGCTTGATGAGGTCGATGGATATGTTCAGCAGGTTCATGGCACTGAGAAGGATTTGGAGAACTGCGGAAATGGTACGATTGAGCAGCAAAATGTTATCGATGGTTAGCTTGTTGATATGCGAGATTGCACCTCGTAGCTGAAAACTCTTTAACACTAAAATATCAATTCAAGTTGAAGTTCCACGTCAGGTCTCCAAGATGCTCTCCATTTTCTGGAAACGTCCAGTCCAATGCACCATCTGGGATGATCTCCTGATAGCTTTGGGCTACTTGGCTGTCCAGTACCGATTCTTCCATCATGCCTTCAGATGCTGTCAGGACCGCGGCTGATGGGGCAATCTGTCGCTGTCTAGTCATGTACTCATCAATTCGAGAAACTTGTGATCGGAGCTTCTCGCTCGCACTGGTGCTGTGGTGGATAACCTCCAGGTTCTCTAACAGCAGCGCCATTGAGAGCATTACTCCCCGTACACGAGTATAGTCGGCCTCGCTGAGCGGCTCTTCTAACACATTACCTAAAATCGATCCAATACCTCCAAGGTGGTGCAGGAGCGGGGTGCTGATAGAAAGCAGATAAGCAATCGGTATAGAGACAAATGCTTCGACGACTTCGCTGGCGATCTGGCAACGCTGTTCGATGCTGGTTCCGCTACCGGCGAAGAGGACAATACGCAGTAGCTGAAATGTGGCAGTGATATTCGCGGCCTGGAACCCGAAACGATCTTTCTTGACGTTACAGACCATTTGGGGCGTTTCTTTGAAGCAATCTGGCAAGTTGAGGTACATTTGAAAGACGCTCTCGCGAACTGATGCTTTTGCAGCAGTAAAGTCCTCCTCAAACATCCCTACCAAGAACGAATTTGTGGTTTGTCGCCTTCGGTAGCCTCGGAGCCGCGTCAAGGCATGTTCGAGGACGCGATACAAGTCTGTGATGAAATTCCACCCTGATAGCCAGCACTCCGCTCGTCCTGCAAAAGACTGACTGTCGTTTCTAGGTGTTGGATCTTGTGCTGTTATTCCGTTATCGTCGATCATGTCATCGTCAACTTCTGTGGGATAGGCTACGTAAGATTGGCACTCGCTACATCGAATGATGCCACCCCAAACCACTGCCGTGTAGATGTCGAGTGTATACATAGACCAAAACTAAAAAACATTGTTAGCTTACTTGTCGCAGGAACGATGATTTGGCATGTCGGACCAGTCTTCTCCTCTCCTCTCGTTCCACGACGTCAATATTGCGTGGCCAATTGGCCTCATTATGTAATCCATCCATCGCCACCAGAGTGTGATACGAGCCAAGATGGTGGTGCATGTCGCGCGTCTTTCCATTTTGAATAGCTGCAATGGCAAGAATTGCATGCGCTCGAAGGATGTGTATGTTTGACTCTGTCGCGAGCTCCAGGAGCTGTTTCTTGGCCTCATCGTAGAACAATTCTGGTTGTATCTTATATAGTGGCTCGAGGTCCCATTTGGGGTTCGTTACTGACCCGTCTCGTATGCGACCACTGACCAGGGCACAAAGAGCCATCGTGACAGAAAAGATGGATTTCTCGCTTGTGTACTCGGTTCGAGAGACTCTTCTAACGAACGTTGGCTGGTGAAAGAACGGGAATATTGGGTAAACAACCTCGAAATAGATCTCAATTAGGTCCATGATGCTGGCTTGGCTGGCAATATGTGGTGCCTTCCATTGATTGTCGTGAACAGAGACGGCTCGCGGCCTGGGTACGCATCTCACATCATGGGATGGATGGCTACTTTCTTGGGCCGGTTCAGCATTCGCAGCGTTAAGAGGCGGACGCGCAGCATCTTCTGAGTAGTTCTTATGGTCTGTTGATTCATCCCGAGGCTTTGTCCCGCGTCGTCGAGGTGTTCGATGATAGGTGCATTCTTGTGCAAAGTCTTTGCAGTTTTGACATCCCTGGTTGTCGCTTGATGGCCGGCATCTAATGCTGCGTTGATGGCAGTAGTCGCACGCTTGTGTAACGCGCCTACGCTTAGTATTTGACTTCTTGGGGGCTTTATTGCCATTTGCCATGGTGCTCTATCAATTCACATACAGAGGAAAAATAATCTGTTCTCGGTAGCTAGAACCTTGAGGCAAATTCAGGTTAACTAAAATAATGAATGAGGTCATGTGATAGAAAGTGCTAAGCTTATTTCAGTATCACGTATATAATAAGCGAGCGAGACAATATACTATATAGCAAACGTGGCTTACCCTATAGCTTTCTAATACTTAAACAAAATAGCTAAAAGTCTAAGAAAATTATCTCTTATAATAATATAGCTTATTAAATAATAAAGTAGTTTTTAAAGATTTTTAATTATTATATTTTATAAAGAAAACCTTAAAAGATGGTAGAAATTATAATATAAATAGACTTTAAAGCTTCTAGCTTTAATGTGTTTAATAAGTAATTGCAAATCGGGTCTACTACACCCGATTTCACCTATTGGGGGTAGCTGTAAGCTTTTAATCTATCTAGCTGTCGGGGATTTTAAACGCCTATACCAAATCATCTTGCCCCCCTCTTCTTTTATTCATCCAGCCCCCTAGCTGTCAAAAGCGGGTCTGCCGTTTTGTATGGAATTCTAATTCATCTGGCGGGGGCACGATGATTTAGACTTAGGGATAGGCTAGCCGGGCTAAAGCTACCTTCAAAGATCCTTAAACTTGTTGCACCCCACTGTATTAAGGATGGATTTGTAATGATCTTTCCTCAAGTACAGTAGTTAGGTAGAGCCTTATGTATCAACAGTCCAGGAATTATGATACATAGTACATGAGGTGGGACTCTCCTCATTCCTGTTATGCTTAAGCGTTATGCCGTTATGGTCTTCCGGACGTACCCGCAGTTGGCGTTATGTATAAACGAGCTCCGTCGCACACCTACAGCCGTCTTGGCCTCGTTGTATATAAAGCCGTCTGTGGCCCGCAGCATAGGTCCCTACCTCTATCTAAGTTCATCAGTTTGCTTCAGATCGAGTGTACAAGATATCGTCTATTCGCTCCATTGACTAGTCAATATGCCGTCCATTGTCCAGCATGCCCTCGCTGGGGAAGCAATCGTCAACGGTGCCTTCTCTATCGCTTGTATTCTTTTCCCCGGCCGATTGCTATCCCCTTTGGTGGCATCGGAATCAGTTCCCAATAGTACCAGTGCTGTATTCAAGTTCTTCGGTGCGGTGACCCTCGGAATGTCAGCACCCATGGTCTTATCTATAGCGGATTCCAGAGACGCTGCAGCGAAGCGGAAGTTAACATACGCGTCATGTTCGGTCATCGAGAGCGCCCTCGTATCTATTGTCCTCTGGCAAACTACGCAGCCGGAAGCTAGTGGCTTTACCTTCAACGGATTGATTTCGCTTTTGGGCTCACTAGTACCGGCACTCGTATGGCATTTATATGTGCTGCTTTCGAAGCCTCACTGGTTTACGCCTGAGTCTGCTTATTCGGCAGAAGGTAAGCATATTAGATCTCCGCATGTGCATGCATGAGCTGACATGTGATATATCAGGAAGAAAGGCGTTGTGATTAGACAGGAAACTCTCAAAAGCTTTAGCCGCCGCCGCCGTATCGGGATGCAATTCGGGTGGTAAGCCATACTAATGATGGAAAGGGGGCAATTTCAAGGTTGAGGGCATTATCCCTCCAACGGGTCACTCACCCCGGCGCCGTCTAGGTGCGCGCACCCCTTCAGCTAAATACGCGCACCTTGACTAAGCCAGTGTGTGGAAAAATGACAAGAAATAGAAGATAAGATTACTATTTGGATGGGTTGGCTGAATTGCGCGATAAGGGGACAGTTGGACTGACGTGACCAACTGGCAGGAGAGGAAGAAGAGGCAGAACAGTCTGAGTCAAAGAGCCCGTCGTAAGTGTCTAGAAATGTGGACGTGTCCCGGTTTCCAAAAGTCTGGAATGACGTGGACCCCACTAATATCATCAATTTCAACATTTGACTTCACAATGTAATTAAGTCATGAAATAAAAATGCAATTAAATTAACATATATATATAGGAATGCATTTCTGAGTATTACGGATAAATGCGTAAGGGTGGGCGACCAGCCGTTCGTCGTGGTTGCGAGCCAGTATCACCTTCGCAATTGGTACCGAGAAAGCAAGCTCCTGGGCGATTGGATTATTGGGGCAACCCAGAATGGACAAGGCGGGCCTTGAGTGGCTTAAGAACTTTAACCGGTGTACAATTAAGCGAACAAATAGCGAACAAATAGTCGCTATCGTCTCGTGATCTTTGACGGCCACGAAAGCCACCACTCGGCCGACTATAAGGTATATTGCGAAGAAAACAATATCATCACGCTCTGCATGCCGCATCATTCGCCCCATCTACTTCAGTCTCTTGATATTAGGTGCTTTGGTCTGTTTAAGAAGGCCCACGGTCGGCGAATAGAGCATCTGATTCGATGATATATAACCCACGTTTCAAAGATCCACTCTCTTTGGCCATTCACGCCACATTTCAAGCCTCGATGATAAATGCCAACGTCCAAGGAGGACTTACAGAAGCTGGGCATTTTCTTCTATACCCAGAAACTGTGCTATCAGAACTAGATACGAAGCTACGGACCGCGACATCGACCCAAGAGGAGGCAAGCCGCCCTGACCCTTGGGTCTCAAAGATGCCGAAGACCGTCCTTTAGGCCATATCTCAGACGCAGTACCTTGGATAGCGGATCCAAGACATCAAAGCAACTCTCAGCCATCTATTCTTGAACAGGAGAACGAATACAATAATGCATTAGATAATTTTATTCAAGTCTGCGAACCAGATGCTTCGACAGTCAAGTGAGGCTCTTAGTTAGCGGCACAAAGCAAAGAAAACCCATCTACGCAACGGAGGGAAGATGACTCTAGATGATGGTAGGGAAGCAATTGATCAGATGGGTGTTGGTGCGCCGGTAACGGCCGAATCGACGGAAAATGGTTGTCAAGGAGGGTCGGCTGAAGCAAATGAAAGGCGTTGTGGAACATGCAGCAAGACGGGTCATAATACAAGGACATGTCAGATAGTTGTCACGATGTATGGAGAAGAGTATAGGAATTGATTTTAGTTGATCGATTGGTTTGTTCTGCTTTTCTGGGATTGAGATTTTTGATGCCCTCACTGATTTGCTCGACTCACTGATGATGTGCGTTACCAAAGTCTGAAGGCCATGTCGCTTGAACGCAGCAAGGCATATAAAGCACGCATTGCGAATCTCGCCAATGCCATTTCGGGACAGACCAAACTAATGCTGTAGTCAGGGTCGCTAAACTATCTCTTCTCAAAGCCCTTCTGCAGCTCATCTCTCTTTAATTCTGAACGACCTGCAGAAAGCCGCTGGAAGAGCAGCAGCCCAAACACAGCTGCATCGGTTGGGATATTATAGTCTGTTTTATCAGTAATCTCATCCTAATGATCCCTTATATCTTCAAGGCCCTATTCTAGATCCTAAGACCCCATATAACCCTGTGTCTCTGCCAGAAAGATTTATGTCATGAGACGTCCTGCGACGGCAAATGACTGGCCTGTGGCTTGAAAATCCTGATGCGCTAGCCATAAGACCCCCGGCGCGATATCTGCAGCGGGCATATATTTTTTCATTGCCTCCATCACCTGATCGCTCTGTATTGCCTTGGCCGCACCAGGTGAATACCCGGATGTAGCAACGGTATTAACAAGAATACCATGCTCTTTCCCCTCTAGCGCGAGTGACTTTGCAAGCCCAACGAGTGCGAGCTTGGCGGCCGAGTAAGCCGTACTTGTAGCGGCACCAAGCATCATGGCCGAGGTAATCATAATAACACGCCCATATTTCTGCTTCTTCATATACGGCCAGGTGGCTTGAGTAACATTCCAGGAGCCCCCCACATGGACATGGAACATGTCCCAAAGGCTCGTCTCCGAGACGTCTTCGAAAAGTGCTGGGTCTCCGTAGTCAGCGTTGTTGATAATGATGTCGACACGTCCGTATGTGTTAAGAGCAGCCTGGACTATGCCATCTGCCACTGCGCGGTCTGTGACACTTCCAACGAAAGAAGTAGCCTTGCCACCTGCATCTATAATATCTCGAACCGTAGGGTCTGCGGTGCTAGCTGAGGTGCTGTTGACGACGATAGATGCGCCAAGACGGGCGAGGAGGAGTGCATATTCCCGACCGAGGCCGCGGCCGGAACCAGTGATGATGGCAACTTGCCCAGTGAAGTTGAGACGGCTGTCTGACATATTGTACGAGTCTCTGGATGGAAGGTGCTTTTTTGGTCGCGTTGGCAATAAGCTTATGATGTCTTTGAGGGATTTACTTCCGGAACGAGTTTCATTCAGACCCCTTTATACGCGATTGACTAGGATAGCTCAGCGCGAAGTCACTTGCGGTGACGATTTCTGACCCTCAAAATCTCGGTATCAATTCCACTGGAAAGTTTCTCCGCCCAGCCAGTGCTTCCGCGACGTCCGGAAGCGTCTGACCCGGCATGTGATTGCTATGCTAGCTTGTATTGCTCCAGGTTTTAACCTATAACCCGTTCCGCTCGCTCCTCACCTCCGGTCGAATTCGGTATCCCGAGGCACGATTCATCCAGTTTCAGACAGCCAGCCCCCCGTTTCTGAGCCCTCAATCAAAGGCACCTCGCTCCCGCTTCTTGACAAGTACTTGTCAGCAGCTTGCCCGAAACTCCGCAGCCGGAGACATTGACTTTCTCTCCAGGGGTGGGGCGTCTCGGCGCCTGAAGTCTCGGCCCTTTAGGCAGTGGGTCTGATGCCTAATGGAATGACAGGACCACGAAGATACCTTGTTCGACGTTGTACTGCCTCATCGATGCGAAACGATGTATAAGACAAGAAGACCTCTTGATTCGCATAGTCTCTTATCTCATCTTTGATCGGCCATGGTGTATGTTCCGACATCAATCTGAGGAGAAATGTTTGAGAAGAGCGACATGGATTTGAATTAGCTATTTTAACGTTGACTAGACAATTTGATCCACAACAGCCTAGCTTTTAGCATAGTTTGTAAAGCCATAAGCTTCCAATTCTGGTCAAGAACTAGAGGTCCTATACTTTCCCATGTCCCCGTCGATCCCGGTAAAGCGATTGCGAGGAGCATGGATATGGTGACAAAAGCTTAGCGATGATCCTAATGGCCGGTGATTCCGATAATCGAAGACCCTCAAGGTAAATAAATCGGGTTAGGACGCATCGACATGCTTGATTGCGACAGTGCCCACAGTGTGGTGGGTTCAAATGTTACTTGCAACGTTTTGAGAGGGTGTATGGCAGCAGCGCTCATCGTATGTCAATCAAATCAACTTTGAGCTCAAAGTTGACTTATTTGATTTGATCGATGTTCTATATCAATTCTATAGGTAGAGACCCCTACGCGAAGTTATCCCCCTCATGCGCACCAAAAGTCAGCTACCTACCTACAGTAGGATAGGGGAATCATGGTAGCCCCCACGAACCTTGAAAGCGTGCACGGACGAAAAGAATATATTTCGATGCAATTCTGGGGGAATTAAAGGAACATCTAGCGTGCACGGACCAGACTATGTGCATTGCGTCACAATGTTCACAGCACTCATTGTAGAGTCTGGGGATTGCAATCGATGTCAGAATTACAGAATAAACCACGTTGCCGGGTAGCAGACTCATTTACTGCTTGTCAAAGATCTCAAATACAATTATTATCAGTTTAGTGTGTACCGGGGCAACAATGTTATGATGGAGAACTTTAGATCAGTCCCCATTCTATGTTATTCCAGACGCCTATTGAAAGCCTTAACGCAGTAGTTAGGGGCTGTTTAGCGATCCCGAATTGAGCTAGGCAACTCGGCCGGCACAGACATGATCTGGATATTTGAACAAAACAAGATTGAAATGGACTCAACTGAGACCTGGAGATCAACTGCGTTCGTGGTGCGCATGGTGATGAATCCAAAACAGAGACTGTGATGAATAATTAATGATGCTGATGAATTGGGGTTGAATCGGGGTGATGAATTCGGGTGAATGAATGCTAGTCAAGGCTTGTGATGAATGATGGATGAGGGTGATGAATTGGGGCGATGAATTATTCTCACTCTTATCTGACGACGATGTCTGTTAGACCGCGTTAAACATTCTACTCAAGTATACTAGCCGGTAACGGGGGCCCGTTCCAGGTTTACTCCAGTAGGCAAATGCGACTTAGGCCTTCAAGGCCGCCACCAATTTTTTGGCTAAACTTAATCCTAATGTACAGTTCTATGGTCTAGAGAGCATAAAGAATGAAGTTTTATTCTTTTTGAATTAATATTGCTGTCGAGGCATGTTATGGTATGTTGCGATAGAGTGACTCTGGATCAAGCGTTACATTTCCTATTATGGAGTAGCGTACTTCATCAGTCAAGCGTTAAAGTTACTGTATAATGGTGTAGTATTGTGTTTACCCTAGAGCACGGACAAAATGTGGGGGTGAGAACCGAAGCTTTCTCTAGACACCACTTCTCCCGAACAGCCCTTGAATCCGAGACTGGCTCCTTATACCCGGAAATGGGAATCCAACCCTGATATCCTTTTTGACGCACGTGTTAGTTACTGTTTGCGTGGCTCATCTTGACGATATCTTTCTGTTGATGAGACAATATTGCACTCTGTGACGGCTGCTGTTCATAAACGAGTCCCTAGCATACATAAAAACTACTCAAGGTTCAGTCCAATATGCCCAACCATACAATTCCCCTTTCAAGATATACCATCAATGATCATCGCCCATTATTCTTTTGCCAATACCTTGTAAAAGGTCCTCTCCAAAATCTTTCAAGTTGCCTTGAGTGACCATCGTATTTTCAATACGGTCGCTCTTTTCATCGAGCTCCCGTACAGCCTCTTCTACTTCAAAAAGCCTTCCGTCATAGTGTTCGAAGTTGATGTCCTCGGTTCGTCTTTGTAGAGCTTCAATCTCCTTCTCTGCTGTTTCCATTCTCTATTCTATGGTCTGGGCTTCCGATGCAGGTATTCTTTCATCTGACTCTTGTTGTTGGCCGTCAACAAGGACTTGCTTGAGCCGCATCGCTTCCTTTTCCTTTTCTAAAGTAGCCACCCTTTCCTTTAAGTCTTGAATCTCTTTGTCCAACTTTTCCTTCTAGGCAGTTTGCTGAAGTTGGGAGGCAGACATCTTATCCTGCAGCGATTTCACTTGTTCAGCCAACGATGGGATGACGCTTTCGCCCTCGGTCCGAGGTTTCTTCCTCGTCTGTGCGGGTGCATCCAAAGATTGTGATGGCACCTCATCGTAAGCTGGCAGCTTGTCGAACTTGGTGCTAGGTCCCTGTTCTGACTGGATGGGGAAAGCAGCAATCTGAGCGCCTAGACCTTGATAAAGGCTCTGAAGGTCAAGATCTCTTTTGCGAGTAGATCGGTAATAGCCCTCATTCATTGCCTTGCGGATGGAATGAAGCTGAGCTTCACATGAAACACTATGGTCGATATAGACCGAGATTGATAGTGCTTGCGATATCTCACGGACATTATCGAGAACAACGCCGGACTGCGTCCGACCTTGCGCCGGCTGTTCTTTCGTGTTCAGAGGAATGAGGATGGTTACATTCTCGTTTAACACGAAATCGAGACCAAGGGCCTGAGAGCTAAGCTTTTTGGCCACTGGTTGAGGGGCTGTCGTCATGACTTTGAAGGAGAAGGTCTCGATGGTTGAGAGCGGTATGCTCACAATAAGGGATGAGAGCCGAGAGTGTTTTTTTCGGTGCGCTTAAGATAGATCGGTATCCAGATTTCGAAGAGGGAGGAGCTTTTATCGAAACGTGTCCTGAAGGTTAAGGTGCTTTGTTTAGGATCAGGATCGGCCAGGTACTTGAGGGTATCGCGACTTGGCCAGCCGACGACGGCAACCGTGGAGATTTGACGATTTATCTCCGACATATTTATTGTCGTTCAAGGTCACGGATATTTTGTTCTGGGAGAAATGAGAGCAGATGTAAGATTATGTTGACCTGAAGGCAAGCAGGTCAGTCATTGAATTGATTCAACCTGGTAGGCAACAATAACACCCATCGGCTCGGGCTGCAGGATTCGCCGGGTGACTGTTCTAAATTTAGCCACGTAGATGTGGCGCCAATCTGACACTGGAGCATAAGGTCAGCTGATCACGCGTGGGCTTGCTGCTGCCCCGCAACGCGCAACGCGCATTTCCTTCCTGCCCCATCTTGCTTCTCTATCTCCAACTCTCCTTCACCACCAAATTTACCTCTTCACAACACAACACACAGCACACGTCCAAAGATTCGGTGAACCGCCACTACAGGCCGGTATAAAATTCCGACTTGTACCCCATCAAACGAGCGCGATGCCTCCTTTCTTGGAACAACCGGGGCACTGTAGACGGGGCCTGGTTCAGCGCCCGCCGGCTGTGACTCGGGGGACTGACGCTTGACTCGCCGGCTGTGATTCGGGAGTCAAACAGGGTGCCGGTTGGTGCAGTAACTGGTTTTGCTCTTTGGTCCCCTGGGCTGTGTGTGCTGTGTTGACCAGGTGCGTCTACACTCCTGCTATCTGGCTAACTCTGTATAGGTTTGAGCATCATCTTTGGGTATTAGCGACAACTTCAAACTCCGACTTCCCTTTCACTCGCCGCGAGAATCTCCTCATCGCTTCCGCCTGAACTCGTGGTTTGACTATCGAATACAATCGAGCTAGCCGATAACGCACGAACCAAGACCACCAAAGTCGAAGCCACCGCGACGCCTTGGAAACAACAAGCGCCTGCTGGACAGCACCGTACCTTCGTGTTTGCCGCTCTCCGATGCCAGCCGCTGTCTGTCGCGCTCATTCTGGCTTCCCCGGCGAGCTGGGGCAGCACCTTATTGGTGAGACGCCTGCGTGCTATCCATTCACGGAGCCAACACGTTTGGTAGATGAGCCGTTAGAAACCTTATTTACAGCGCTCCTCGTCCAATGCTTGCCTCCTCTCAATTTACCATCTCCATGGTCACTCCTCAACATGCTCTAATTCCCGATACAAGGTCCTCGAGACTCCCATGGTAGAGAGCTGCCAACCGCCTCCCCAAACAGAACGACCTACAACCTCCACAACAAGTCGACATGTTCAGCAACCAAGCGAAACCCTCAAACTGATATACAACACTGGCCACGGCCTTTCGGTCGTCCGACTGCTCTAGTTATCTGCCCCAACGACTCTCGATCCTGTTTTCCCTCTGCCACAAAAGGCACACTTCCTTCGGCATTCTCAGAATACCATTCTCTTATCGTAGCGAGGGCCGCCACCCTTTTTTGATGCCATTATAGCCGAAGGTCAAGGTGTTCTGTGATGTCAACCGACTTTCTGCAGCACGTATCGACGGCCCTGGCAGATGACTTGTTGGTCGCGATTAATTGAATGAAAGACAAAGAGATACGAACATTCAATTAGAAAATGCAGCTTTGGAGTGAAATTTGAAGACCCCGACATGCAGAAATGTTAACCGTGGTTGTGATTCTGGTCACTCTGAGCTGACATGTCGATTCGCGCTATGGCCTGTCAATCCTGCATTGTTTCGGCCAGAGATGCGGCTCAGCTGCATCAAAACTGCTAGGATGAATGAGCCATCTTCATTAAGAGAAAGAGAAGTCTGCAGTGGCTGTATTCACCGCCCACCGCGTCGTCACCAAATTCTGCAACACCTGAGAACAAAGAACATCATGGGAAGAGACCATGCGCAATAAAATTACACATATCACGTAATGTCGCTCCCTCTAATCTCAAGGGCATATAAACTCACTTCTTGCGGCAAAATCACTTTTGCTTTCCTTTACAACATTCAACGGTGACATCTCCAAACATGGACAACGACTACCTTTGTAAGTCTCTTAATTCCAGAGCCATGCATCTCTAATCTAGATATGGTAGGCAATAATCCTTGGATTGGCCAGCAGCCAGACGAGGCCGACCACATTATCGATTATCTGAACAGCGACCAGGGGATCATGTTCCCTACCAGCGAGTTCGTGGAGAGCCCTGAGGTTTACTCCGATGGTGAGTATTCCTCTAGAGATGTAGTTGTGACAATCTAACATCTCCAGGAATTCGTGAATCGCTTCGGGAGCCTGCTGATGCAGACAATGGCTTACCACCCCTCATTCTCCCACCTGCTGTCGACGAGTATGACGCGGACGCTGAAGATGTCTACCTGAACGACCCAGATGTCCGAGCTTATGCCTCCCTTGCGGACAATTGCTGGGACTATATCTTGCAACCCCTCTTGAGTGCACTGAGACCCCTACGAGGACTTCCCTGCATCTTGATTATGCCTTTTCATTTCCTGCTTCTTGATCTCTACTGCATTATTACCGATATGGATGGACCGTTTCTTCGTCAAATCATCCCCGTCATTCTCGTGGAAGTCGCCGAGCGGTATGAACCTGGAGCAGGCTTCCTTGTCAACGTCGTCGTCGGTCTCATGCCTCATATCTTGGAACAGCTCCGTCCAACACTTGTTGCGTATGGCGGCCGACTTTCGGACCTGTGCGATGAGTTTCAGGGCTTCCTTATTCTTTGTGTAGACAAGAGTCAGAATCGGCGTTCCCGAAACGTATGCTGAAGGTGGCATTAAGAGAGGTCTCAGCATGAGTGGTGAGATCATCGAGTTGTCTTGATTTGATCTTGCTAGCTGTGAGGGAAAATGGGAGAATGGGAATACACGGAAGCCTGGCATTCTTGTGACTCTGGGTATAATCTGTTACTTGCATTAGAAGGTTGGAGGCGTTATTTGATCATTCCTACAAAATGAATACACATTGCATCCGTTGTTAAGCATATGCATCTTTGTGTAGTAATCTCCTGAAACTTGATGTGCATCTTTGACAAATCCTCCGAGATAATGCGTTATCACTAGTACCTCAAAAACCCACAGGCCAAAGAGAGAGAATCCTAAGCTGAAAAGCACCCACTGGTCGAAGATGCAAGTCAATCAAGGTTCTTGCGGTATCAATAGAGGTTTTTGTGATAGTGAAGTGAGGACGTTTTACAATCGGACCCCCAGCCCCCAAAAAGAGGTACAGTCGCAACGGCACCAAGCAAGAGCCACACTAGCACTTACTTGCTCAGTTTGTGGACAGTGGCCAAATCGGCGTCAGGTTTCGTAGGTCAGTCGCTTTGATGCATCAGTAGCACTCAGTTATGCGCTTGGAAGACCTGCCGTTAGCTGTAGATAATGTGCTCGTAGTATATAATATTGGATACTGAGAAGTGACCTTTCTTATGGGTAATTGTTTTTTTTGAGATATTCTTTAAACGTGTACTGCACCTTTGCATCTCGTTTTCTTGCCCGATGTGGACACCTTGTGGTTGAGCAACATGTTAATACCGACCTGAAAAATTCGCTTTTTGGCGTGTAGCACCTGGTAGATGAAAGGGTTATGCAGAAAGCATCATTATGATCTTCTCTCTGCGCAACACAGATACCTCTGGCGACGTACCACCCTGCAAGAAGTGTGGCCCTTTCGAGGAGCCATCGAACGAAGATTTCACTCTTTCTTTTACTAATTCTCCACTGACAATACTCTCAAACCTAATGCCAAAAGGTGGAAATAAGGCTGTTTTCAAAATTGCCAATCTGACCTCCGCTGATTAGCGGAAGTAAGATTGAGATTTACAAAGTTACTAAGCTGTCTCCGTCTATTGGCGGAAGTAGGGCTGTTTTCATAACTCAACCAACCTGACCTCCGCTAGTTGGCGGAAGCAAGATTGGTGTTTACAGAGCTGACGCTGTGAGACGTGCGGGGTCCAGCAGCTCGAAGCCATATTCAACTCTAAATAACACATCTCAAAATATCAGGTACCATACCAACGACTAATACACTTGCCCTTACCGAGCTGACAATCCATCTTTGACGATTAATAGAAGCAGTCTTGCCTCTACAAAGCTATATAGAATTTAAAGGGATAATAAGCGGTATTAGAAGAATCTAAATGTGTTAACACAAAAGGGTGCATTAAATTGAAGCCGAAGGACTAACGCCTATGTAAAAGTGACGCCAATTTTGCCATTACTTCTCTGACATCGGTGTAGTAATTGCCCTACCGAGATCTCAATGCTGCTATGCTATGACCCAAGAGCACGTAAGAATCCTCCAGCAATTTGACCAATCTTTGCCCCAGGACGCCCTTGGACATCAGAAATAGTATTAAACATTTCTGTAGCCCATCGCTTACAGTTGTTGAGAATGGGATGGTATTTTCCGTGATTTCTGATAAGTCGTCGTGCTTTATTGCAATCTATTACCATCAAGTCATAACTGAGAAATAAGGGGGAATTTACCAACCTGTTTCAAGAATCTCCTCATCAGAGAAAGATGTCAGTCCCACTACATCTGTTTCAATGATGACGCCTTTCACTGGCTGGTATTCACCCTGCTCGGGATCAGGTTCATAATTTAATTCAACGCCATCGCTAGTGTTTTTAACTCGCAAGGAGTACCGTTTCTTCCGACCACATTCACCAACCTGCGACGATAGAAACCAGTCAGATGAGAGTTACAACACAGGGGTCATAAAAAAGGAACGAAAAAAAAAAGTAAAAATTACCTCCACTGCATAATGGTCAATGAGTTGGTGAGAGAATGGGTTCGAAATTGAACCGCTCTTTGAGCTGGAGAATTGCCCAAATGAGAGACTGAGTGGACAGTGTACTAGAGCGACGGTTCGTGGCATGCCGGTGGTGGTTTTCAGATACTTAGGTACGCATCAATAATCCTCAGGGTTCTAAAGTGCAAGCAAAAGATCGTGATTGTGGTCGTCTATCACTGGATATTAAGTATGCAGGGGACCACAGTAGAAGTACCTTTTCAACCCGCTAAAATCTTACTGTCACGAAGTGCTCCTAGACGCTGCGTGCTCCCGTCTTAGGCATTCAGTGCAAGCCGCAGGTACTTTCTATTTGTTTAGAACATTCCAGACATTCACTTCCTTGCTGCCTAGAAGTTCATTTGGCTTCATAAAGAGATCATGGTTCTCACTGATTCCGGGCGTTGCTAGTGCCTTGTTGGCATGTCGCTTAGGAACGAGGCTGCCGCCATGCCCCAGGCAGAATTGTCACAAGCCCTACATAGCCGCCGCCTGAGACTTGGTTCGCCTGGAAAATTGGTCTCGTTTTAAGAGAAGGTCTAGACCTAGTTAAACCCTAACAGGTAAGCTATAGGATGCCAAACCATTCTTGCATACTGCTCTCATGGCCGTACCAGTCGATGATAACTGTCATCAGTACTCCAGGAATTTGCTGCGAGGTCATAATATCTTGGAGATCTGTCATCTTGATGAAACCGTTCTCTAGAAAGTCGAGCGGTACAAGTGCTCTCTCCAAGTCGCCATGGCCTTCACAATTTAGCTCAACAGAACAGGCCAACGTGTTAACAAATACATACCACAATAATAGAACAGCAAATGGTCTCCAGCCCGGGAATCCTTGACTAGCCAGTGCATAGATAGCAAAATCTGCTTTTTGGTGGGTTGACTCGTCGGTCGCTGCTGCATATCTGTGAGCATTACTATGTCCTCCTCCCGATACCCATAATTCCGATTTAATAGACATGCCAATCCGCCCACGTTCGAGTCCGGTAGCTGGCCCCGAGTACCAAGATAGGTGACGCCTATGAGGGCCGCTCTCTTTCTTTTAGGCAACTGCGTCCGGGATGATATGGAGAAACCAATTCCTGGCCATTCATTTGCATGCCGCCCAGCAGAAGCATGGGCTGGGGGAGAATCATTGATGTGTTCTTTGGGGGACATTGTCAAAGAGCTGTGACGACTGCGTTCTACTTAGTTGATATGTGAACGGGGATTGAAGTCATGTCATTACTGCCAATATGAACTAACCGTGCTTCCTCGTCTTTGTTTATTAGTGCCTGGGCCTTAAATCCTTGGGCAGGCATGGATCGGCTCGTCGAAGGATCTCGTTGAGGTTTGGGTGACTGGATTGCGATTTCCAAAGTCTTGGATAACCTAGCGAACGAGCTAGTAAAGGAAAGAATCGAGGGAATTGACAGGCTGCGCTAGTTGAGAATAAAATAGTTAGATTAGAGCCGATGGGGAAAAAGATGCGAGTGGCTAGTTATGGGGCCTTTGTCGTAGTTGGATATGCCGAATCTGAATCAATTAATTAAAGCAATGGCTGTTTACAAATGTACAGGAACCTTTATTTCCGCAGATGATGCCACTTACACCCGGATCCACGAGGCGCAACTCAGTCCTTACATGCACAACTCTTTTCTTCATCTCAAAATATCCCGGGTTCTAAAAGTGGGACTGCGGATAATCACATGCCATTCCCCTTCGGAATTGGCGTGCCGTTTTGAGACATCGGCGAGGGTATTGGCAACAAGGCAGTTCCGTACGGCTGAGTGTAAATTCGAGGCTGGGCTGAATGTATGTACACCTGGACTTTCACAAATTAAACTGCATTCTTATCGTTGTATTCTTCCACCTCATCTCTTAGTGATAGCGAGAATATCAGGTGAATCACCAGATTCCATTTAAACATCGATAGCATAATCCCTGTTCCTTTGAGTAACCACGACAGGCTAGTAACAACAAGGCAGTGTAAAGCCTTGCTTTGTTGTGCTGTATAAGTATCAGATCATGGGGAAGTAGTCGCGCCCACGGCCGAGAATTCTCTGAGCCCTAAACTAAAGTCCGGTCATCTCCCATAGACCAAGCAATAGTAAGACATAGTTCGTGTTCATTCTGCCCGAGATCACACAATAGCACAAAATGTCGACATGGTGAGGTACATTATCATATGACATTTCTGGCGAGTACTGAGGCATTTCTAAGAGTCTAGACAGGGGTGGAGCTTGGCAATTTTGGAAATAGACTGGGCAACTCATCAAGCTCTTCTTACCCCTGACTCTGTCGCAGACGCGGCGGCAAATTTATTGCCAGACCTCAGCTGGTATATATGGAAGGTTCCTCACACTCCTGTCGCAAAAACCATGGATCACGCCCAATATTGCATTAGGTAGCCGCGCCAATGATGATCAGTGTTTAGCGGTTCATCACTTACGACTGCACTCCTCCTGATCGATGACAGGGGCCGTTGCAAGGATGAAGTGGATACTACGGGTGCTGCCGTTGGGCCGTGCAGTCGCTGTAGAGGTTATTTAACGGTTGAGCTGGTTCTTTCCGCAGAACTCATAAAAGAATTGGTTAGGACCCTCGCCATGAGAGTTGTTGGGTGTTACACAGGGAGAAAGCACCCGCCGCTGGGAGCTATGGGATGCTCACGTTTGCTTGTGCTTCTTGAGATGATGTTCTCTGCGTTGGAAGGCTTTATGAACCTGCGTAGTCGCATTCACACATAGCTGGATGGACGATGCCTATAAGAGCTAATTTAGTCCTGCTAGATTGACTTTTTGACGATCTGAGATGGGTTCACGGGAGCTCGCAATCCTCTTACTGGATCTGACAGGGTTTTGCCTCCTTACGAGCTCGAACCCGAAGTTGTGGGGCATTTTGGCGCCAAGGAAGAATGACTTGGGACCGTCTTTAACCCACAGTGGCCCCACGGATAATGAGATATCAGCACCATCTGATACCTAGAAAGGATTTTTAATGGAGGCATCATAAGGGAGGCGACATCGAAGCCCACCCTTGGGCGACATGCCGTATATGCAAATGAGTTCCAAGGCAGGCTGGGTAGTAAGACATCTAGGATTATGATAAGGCAATGAGCTCGAATGCAAGGGCAGTAAAATGCATCTGTGTGCCAGTTATTAGGTATCAGTTATCACCTAACCTAATATTAAAAGTAAAGCCTGTATAGCTGAACGGCCAGAATAAGCAGCTGGTCCTGCCTTAGCTTATAGTATAAGATTCCTTTAGTTTAAATTAGCTTATTTTGATATAGATTAATTAACAGTTAGTGAAAAGGCTATATTAGGCCTATAATATAATAGTAAATATTACTACTACTTATATAAAGATACCTTAGCCTTTTTTTAAGAAATTATTAATTAATCTTAACTATATATTATTATCTTAAATATTAATAAGTAAGAAATAAATTTTAATTATAAAACTAAGGGCAAGAAGCGTAATATATTATTTTCAGGATTACTAAGTAATATATTTATAGCATAAGCTAATTTTTAGGTTTATAAGGGGCTATCTTAAGCTAGCCTCTTAAAAGAATAACTAAGAATAAGTAATATTAATAATACACCGGGGAATCGGGCCAGGAAATAAAAGCAGTATGTCCGCGTTTACTACGTGTATAATGATTGCAAGCTAGTGGGGCATTCAGTCGTCACTAAAACTGAAGGACAGGATCTTGTTAACGGCCAACGAGGAATATCGAGACAACCGTTTAACCACTGCCGAACAAATCGGTACAAGGCGTAGGCTTGGCCCCATTCACCCATGACTTTTAGTAGATGACACCACCATCAAATCTCGGCGTTATCCCTTTTGCTGCTTTGGTACTTAAAGTTGAAGTTATTTTCCTTGGCTTGAGCAGCCCATCAAAAGCCTGTTGGTCCGCTTCCACCGATTTATCCTTAAAATACTTCTTTCCATCTGTCTCCGTTCCGAGACACGACTCCGACTTTGGATCTTTTTTCCTTCGGTTTCCATCCCTGACGACGGTCACCATGTGCGATGAAACCCAGCGCACTAGGGCCGAATCCCGCCGGCTCAAGAAGCGGGAAGTCGATCGCAAGGCCCAGAGGTCAGCGCGTGAGAGGACAAAGAGGCGCATTGCGCAGCTCGAGAGCATGGTTGAAAATCTACGACAAAACGACACCCCAGCGCAAATAACCTCATTGATAGATCAGTTGGGCCACGTTACAAAAGAAAGGGATAAATTATTAGGGGTGCTCGATTCGCTAGGCTCAACTATTCGCTGTCATCTCGTTGACTTGACCACGAGCGAACCTGCTCCAGACACAAGATCCGAATCGTCGATGCAGGCATCAACAAGAGGATTTGCGCCCCCGGTATTGGGGGAAGAGATACTTCCAATCCCAACCACTACTACAGGAGTGTCATCAGAAACGACTGGCTCTCCAATGCTACAAATCCCAATGGACACTCCTCCAAATGATCCTTTTACCTACGAAGGCTGGACCTACGACGGCTGGACCTACAATGACTGGACCTACACCGTCAGCAACAAGCCATATCCTACGACCATGGCCTTTGACAACTCAATCCTCCCACCCAGCTTGGACCATCTCGTGCAGAGATAGTAGCAGGTCAACTTGAAGACCAATTCCTCCCAGAGTTCAGTTTTTTATCTTCGGCGGCTGAAGCGATGCCTGCTGTTGGCTATGTCAGGGCGTCAGGGGTTGTTGGTTAGTGTTATCGACTAAATGATGTCAGGTTGGTGTAGTTTAGGTCATGGCTGTTCTAGGCGACTTGTAACGATCGCAAATCTGATTATGGCCCGTACTGCGTCCCTTTTCGGCTTTTTCATCGTGTGATCTTCTGTTAGACCATTGTGTCTCAGTAGTCATTTGTTTTCAGCTGATAACCAATTTTTGGAAAGGACAAGGCTTGATCGAGACATCGGGAGAGCTCTATCAGGCCTTTGGTCTGTCAAGATATGGGATTTTTGTGAATAATGCTGAATAGTTAGTGCGTTGTGAGGAATACAATTTCGCAATTGAATTGACATTGGTCCCCAGCATAAAGTTGGAGGAAATCAGTTTGTGGTTACGCGCTAAAGCCTCATTAAGAAAGAGGAAATACGTCCCTAAAATGTCGAATGTGGGGCTAAAGATGGTTGACCCAAACATGATGCTAGAAGAGCCAGCACTGATGGGCCTGGAACGTGTTTCGGCCTCGGAATTAAACTTTCGATCGGGATTTGACGAGTTTCCACGCCTTTCTGTGATAGCCGGCCGAAAACAACACGTTTGCATAGCAGTTGGTACCGGACTGGCATTCCAAGCTCATGATCGGCCTGCCCCTTCGACCATCCTTTTCTGTTGGTCGACTAACATCACTCTCAGGCCATGAGTCCCGAGGAACCTTTGAGTCCTTACATGTGACATCAAACCCTAACTTTGATTCGACAGACGCGTTAAGAACATTGGGAGGCCAGTTTTGCTTTTGCGTGATTTCCCATCACATGTGATAATGTTGGCCAAGTGTGTGTAACCCCATGTAACCTGGCCAGAACAGAAAGATAAGGCCTGCATATCCCTGCAAGATGCTAGGCGAGGAAAGAGATAATAATTCTGTATTAATATTAATTACCCCAATTTTCATTACTTTAAATCCTAGGCAGAACCGATATCCTACCTGAGATGTTCTAAACTCCGATAAATTCCAGTATTATGTAAAAATTAAGTTGATTGCTATGTATTGTCCCCGGCAACTTCTCGGGAACCCATCCGTTTTTATACACCCCGCCAATATCGTTCCCGAACTTCCTGATCAACGTTGATGACAATGTTATCTGGTCCATCATCTAGAATATTTGTCGGCTACAGGAACCCCGACACCGGATTCAGTGTGTGCATAATTACTAGAGACTGAGCCTCTGTATACAAAACTTAGTACTTAAAATACCCCAACTCATATAAAGACTTATCAAGACATAGCATTAATGTTCGCTCATATATACTTAAGCATTTATTCATACAAATATATATATCCAACTCATAATATGAGCTGCATGAGGATAGACTAATGGCTAGAAACTTATATTATTCACACAAGACGTTGCCTGGCATTACCAAGGCATATTCTTCTAACATACAGATTAACGTCCTCCATACGCTATTCTCAGTACTTGATATCGATTTTAATGTGCCATTATCCGTGTGGTTTATGTCAGGTGACATCGCCCAGATTTGTTGCTACTGAACGTTCTCCGTCATCGCTTCCTTGCTGCTGCTGATCGCTCATCAATCCCGATATATAGGGTGAG